TGCGCAAAACGCATGATGGCGCCGGTTGCCCTGGTACGCGCCTCTATTTATTTTACTCGAGAATCAGTTTTGGCAGTCATTCACATCGACATAGGTATGTGTCGTCGATGCGTGATCACCATGGGCTTCACGTTGATCAGTTTCGGCAATCGTCTCAACACGTAATATGCTATTTGTTTATTAGCATTACTCGTTTCTCTGCTGGTACATCCCAAGCTATTATCGTTTTATCTGCTACAACCTATAGAAAGGGGGAGGGGGGCGGTAGATTTGCACTTTGATTTTCAGGCATCGGTGCATTTACATAGTTTGGTAACTCTACATAATTGCGCGCAGTTTAGCGTCAATTCAGAGGCAGAACATTTGCCGCTACTCTAAAGGCTCACTTGCATAAATGTCTTTTCGATTGCATTGTTTCTGATTCAGAATGAAGCACTGCAGCCAGTCTCTAAGCACCAGAAAACCCTAATGCCAAGATCGCAGCAGCAGCAGTATCCGTACGAGCAATCGTGCTGTAGCATTTCGCACGCTCTTTCATGGAGCAGCAACAAAAGTCTCAGCAGCACCGCACCATTGGTTAGTTCAGTTGAAAGCGAACAGTGTGAATTGTAGGCTAATTTATTCATATAATTGCGGCTAGAGGGTTTTCAGGATGACATTCCCGTACGTAAAGCGATGTATACATCAACACCGGTGAGCAGTCGAATAGCCCACGCCCAAGCGGGTATTAGTGGGCTCAGACCCAGCCCCCGGGTTGGCGTGATACCCACATACGGGCCCGCCAAAGCTTTTTCGTCTAAATTGATAACTCAAGTGCCTGAGAAGCTAAAGGGCTGTAATCATAAGAGGATATACCTCGTCCACCTAAGCTTCATTCAGCTCGAACCCAGCTCTCAGTTATGCTTAGTAAACATGCACGGGCCCGTGAAAGTTTTGTTCCAGTAAGTTGCTAACTGAGGTGCCAGGGAAGCTAGAAAGCTGGAATTTTAAGGGAATGTTTTTTGACAGTTCTGGCGGTCAGTCTTAATTTGTTTAGTTAGAAGCGTTTGCCGAAAAAACCGGTGCCGGTTGCAACAAAAGTTGCGGGGAACCATGCAAAAAACGCATCTTCGTACGAGCAACCCGTGTTTTGGCCAATTTGGTATTCCTGCCTGCAATGGAATCTACAAAAATGCGCCAGATTTTTTTCAGACGTCGGGCTGGTGGTAGTGACAAATTGTCAGTACGGAAAGATGGCGGAGCGATTGACTAGGATCGCGTAACACGAGGCGTTTGCTATATGGAACGGAATTCGAGTGAACACGATCCAGTGCGTGAGAAATCGCTATCGTCGAAGAGTCGCTCAATTTTGTTTTCCCTCACATGCGATAGCTCTGGTCTGCACCTCAAAAGCTATTCGATATTATCTCATGCTTTGTTTTGCTTCATCAGTTGCATTTTTCTTCGTAAGTCCCCGTCAGTCTCAGGAAAAGATTCCTTACATTGCAGTATTTGCAAGATTTACTAAGCTCAGCGGCTCTCCGGACAGAAATTTTTATGCGTTTTTACAGCTATGTAATGCAAAAAAAGCACATTGACGAGAGATTGTCTGTGTGTGTGTGTGTGTCTGTGTGGTTGTCTGTACCGA